CAGGGGTGAGAGGGGATATTTTTATGTATATAATTTTTATTGAAGAACATTTTTACAAAGTTAAAAGCTACAGAAAAATAAAACAATATAGAAAAGAAAAAAAGATATAAAAAGAAAAATAGGAGAGATAGAAAGACAGAAAGACAGAAGAAAAAATGAACAACAGTATAGATCAAGAAAAGAGAAAGAAAAAAAGAAAAAAATATTTAAAGAAGTGACTTCAGATCTCCTCTGCAGCAGTTACATAGTTAATACTGTTTCCGCCCTCCCAAATTACATAACATAGTTCTCTTTCCATATACAGCCCTTTTTAATCAATAAATTGAGAAATCGCCCATTCATTTTTATCCATTTTCAGCAAAACGTTCATAAAGGGTTTCCAGTCTGTTATAAAAGTAGTTATTGCTCCTTCCCTAATGAAACAAGCCAGCTTAGCCATTTCTGCAAGTTCTGCCATCTTCAGAATCCATCCTTCCATTGTGGGTATTTCTACGTTTTTCCATCTTTGTGCATGTAAGAGCCTCGCTGCAGTTACCATATATAAAACTAATCTTCCATGAGTCTTTTCTAGTTAGCTATCCATAAGTCCTACTAAGAAAAGTTCTGGTTTCAACTGAATATTAATTTTTAAAATTCTCTGCATCATTGTATGTATTTGTATCCAGTATTTTTTTGCTTTTTCACAAGTCCATCATGCATAGTAAATGTCCCTTCATATTCTTCACAATTTCAGAACAACTAGAGGTACCTTTATACGTCTTAGATAATCTTTCTGGTGACATATACCAACAGTACATCATTTTATAAAAATTCTCTCTTAAATTATAAGACAAGTGAATTTCAGTCCTTTTAACTACATTCTTTCTCACTGATCCTTCTGCATGTTGTAACCAAATTTCTTAGGCCATTTTATCATGCACTCTTTAACTTGTTCATCTTCTATTTCAAATCTCAACAATAATTTATATATTTAGCGATTACGTGTTCATCATTTGTACATAATTCCCTTTCAAATTCCATTACAAGTCATTCTATACCTGGTAGTTTTTTATTCATATTAAACCTCTCCCTTAGTTGTGCATATGAAAACCATTGAAAAATAAATCCCTTTGCAGTCGATTGTTCTCTTGATTTCATCTTAAGTTCTCCATTTTCCTGTATTAATAAATCTTGATATGTTAACTATTTTCCTTTGACTGCTGTTTCTTTTCTATAAAACACTTCTTGCGCTGAGGCTGATGAAAGTATTTTTGGGCACAGCCTGGTTTTATAGAATCCAGCCAGATGCCTTTTGAGAAAATGTATTAGGCCAAATAATTCAAGGCAGGCAAATTAAAAACACATTTCTCCAACTTAGCATAGAGGTTGTGTAGGCAGAGCTGTTGAAGAACAATCTGAATGAGGTTTTGTATGGGCTTCCATATCTTCAGAATAAATTAATAAATTATCAAAATTAAAAATTTGTCCAGTGGTCATGAAAAATATGATTCATAAACTGCATTAAGACTGGGGGCATTTTACTAAACCATAGGACATTTCTATTATGGGTTTCAAAGGAAGTTCAATGGTTGTGCCCGCTATCATAGAAATAAGCTCCTCTGAGAACCAACTAGGCAAAAATGTGTGCCTTTTGTAGCCACTCTAAGAGTTTGAAGATGAGGGAAAGAGATGATTCCTAATCGTCACAGAGTTAAAAAATCTATAGCCATGAACCATAGAAAGAGAGCCATTCTTCTTTTTAACAAAAAGATAGGAACACCAGTTGGTAATGACAAGGGGAAAATGAAATCTTTTTGCAAACTGTTGACAACAAAATCCTTTGGGCAGGTCTCAGAAATAGGATACACACTTTTTACTGCAATATGAATTGCAGGAAAAGTATTTATTTTACAATCACAACACTGATAAGAGACTCCTTCCCAAACACATCCACAGAAATGGTATATTTTTCAGGTAAGACAGGGCAGTAACTCCTGATGATAGGGGATGTTGAGTAAGAGAGGATTTGTATGTTCAAAGACTGCCCCAGAGCATAAGAGCTTCTAATAATTTCCATGCTTACATACTCATACTGGTGGCTCACCAGGCTGAACGAGCAAAACATATCTGTGTGGAATTGCAGAGGTAATGAAGTTATCCATAATGACACACTCTATTAAGCCTTGAAGTGAAGAGGGCGTAAGTTATTGTTAAGAGTCCTCCTGCTCCAGGAAGGACCATAACTGGGTCTTAAGAGTAACAGGAAGAACCAAATCTTAGTGTATAACGTACCTGTGCTCAAATTCTGAATATTCCCACCTCTGAGCTCTTTAGGTTAGGCAGATGGAGGCTGTGGCTGGAATTGGGTGGAGTGTCTGTGCCGAACTCTGGTTAGTGCACCAGATACAGCCTTTCCTGGAGCAGGAGGACCTCTTAGCAGTAACTCTTGCCCTCATCACCACTTGTCTGAACTACTAAAATGTGCTCTATGTGGGCTGCTTAACAGGACCATTAGAAGCTTCATTTAGTCCAGAATGCCTAGTAAGTAGCTGGTGTCCATTGCCAAGATCATATAAGGTATGTACTCCAAGCAACTGTACTGGCTTTCAGGTGCAGCTTCCAAGTGGAGTTCAAATGCTGGTTGTTACCTACAAAGCCCTATGTGGTTTGGTACTTCTCCAACTGTGGGGATCCCTAGTTTTCCTGAGGTTTGGAAGTGGAGGTTTCAGTGGTAGTGCCCATACTGTGGAACAGCCTCGCCCCCAGAAATTAGACCTGCCCCAACTGTTTTACCCTTCCAGCAGCTTTTAAAAACTGAATTGTCCTATGGTGAGTAGCATGCTTTTTGGTAAGTTTATAATTTTGTTTTGAAGTTTAATCATGCTGTAGATGTTTGATTGTATATGGTTGTTACTGAAAATTGCCAAGTCTCACAATTAATGGAGGGGACACTTACACATATGATATGAGCTTGTCTCACTATCCTGTTTTGGCTTAACATTCTAAGTTTGTTAATATGATTTTGGGAAAAGGAATAAGATCCAAAGAAGTTAATGTGATGTTAAATTATATTCCAAATGTTGACATTTATCAATATCTGAATTTTGGATTTATTGAATATATTATGTGCCATCAAGTTGTTTTTGACTCCCAGTGACCGTACAGACATTCTCCATGATGATCTATCCCTAACGTGTTATTTCAAATCTCCCAACGGTGCACTCATTGTCACTGTAACTGAGTCCATCCACCTTGCTGCTAGTCATCCTCTTCCTCTTTCTTTTCACCTTTCCTAGCATTAAAGCCTTTTCCAGAGAGTCTTCGCATCATGTGTCCAAAGGAGGATAATTTGAACCTGGCCATTTGTGCCTTGAGTGAGAACACTGGGTTGATTTGTTCAATGATCCATTAGTTTTCTTGACTGTCCACAGTATTCTCAGTCTTTTCAAACACCAAAGTTGAGTATGCTTTATAGCAAAGATTATTTTGTCATGCTAGGAGGATAGCATCATCTCAGACTTACAATCATGGGTCGATGACACGTATTTGCTCTCCACCTATAAACTGACTCTCTATTGACCAAATGAAGACTGACCAATATTTACTACATATGGTCATTTACTGCAATACTTAAATGAGCCTTTACAATGTACAGTAATGTACTTTTGTGTATTTTTTCCCTTTGTTTCTTAAAACAAATTTTTAAAAAGGCAAAATGTCAGCTTTTTCAAGTATTATTCTATTAATTCACTTTTTTTTCTTGTTCTATACTATAGCCTTTATAGAAAAGTGTCCTGAAACACAGTATTTTTATTGTATTATAATGTACTTGAAAAAACATATAAGTGCAAAAATCAGCAGAGAGAGATTATTTTTTTTCTCCCAAGACAGAATTGAATAGTTTATTTCCTTAGGGTAGAAAGGTCTTTTGGGTCCCAGCATGAGTTCCTCTCCCAGCCTGGCTCTGACCTGCTGCTTTTGTGTGTCCATTATCATACCCCAATGGAGCAGCACTTTTTTGCAACCATAGATCAGAGGCCTATCAAGCTGAATCCCCCTCTCTGAAAGCAGTCTTCTTGCTCTTCCCTTAGAGTGGACTTCCCAGAACCATAAAGGTTTGTGCTTTTGCAGTGGTATCCTACAAATATTTCTTTTAAGTCATTTTTTCTGATCTGGAGGAAATGAAGGAATGAAACGAGACTATCTAAGTTATCTCATTTGGATAATTCTTCGTTGGCACTTAATTTGGTAAAAAGTAGTATCATTGTGGTCAGTACTCACCACTTTCTACCATGACACACACAGATCACAAGATGCCTGTTTATATCAGACATGTTTTTAGCTTGGAGTCGGTACTAGGATCCAGCACAAGGACCTTTTCCTGGCCTCTGGATATCATTAGGGAGAGTCAACATCCCTCCCCTCTCAAAACCTTTTCCCACAAATGTCAAGCCACTCAGAAGACTTAGCAATGGCTGTTTCTTGGAAGCAGCACTTGAAAGAGCTCCTAGTCTAGAGTATTTTCAAGTGATAGCTCCTTCAGGACTGGATTCAACTGACCCTCACATTCCCTCTGGGGAACTGCTGCTCCCAAGAAAGATCCAGAAGAGAGAGGTAGGAGTCTCATGGACTGGATGAGAAGACCTACTAATCTTCATCTGGTAGGCCAGAGCCACTCTTTTAGCCAGGGTTTAGAAGAGAAGGCTTGCTCCATTAACAAGAGCTTGAGTATGCATGAAGAATTAAATATATTATTTTATTTTAATTTTATTCAATTTTATATGTGTGTATGTAGCAGTTACATGTTTCATTATAAGATTTTATTTTGCACAAGACTCAAAATGAACCAAACAACTTCTTAAGCAAGTCTTCTGCTTGAAGAACCTTCACATCAGAGGAACTTTAAGCTTTGGTCTCACTAGCAGCAGAACTTTTTAGACAAAGTCACGTATAAAATACTGAAGAGTATTTCTCCTTAGTTTTTAACAAGGGAGGAATTTTTCCAAAGTTGGCCTAATTTTAGATGTTAATAATCAGGTATTTGGGAAAACAATTTTCTTTAATAAAAGTATGTAATATTTGGGAACCGTCCAAGTAGTTTGTTGGCTTGTTGTGAATCAAGATTTCCTAAAGATTCTTCTGGAGTTTTCTCCTTTTGCTTTGCCTGAAAAGATCACAAATAATTTTATGCAGTTATTAAACTAAAATGCAAATTCCCAGTGATTTTTCCAATGTTATGAACCCCAATCTCTAAATGACTAAAGACAATTTTGACAAAATGAGCTGGTGCTGTCAAAAATCAACTATTTCTCATTTATTACTCAAACTAACTATAACAATTAACTTTATGGCAAAAGTAGAGGAGTTGAATTTTTAAAATCTATTCCTAGGAATATGAGAATAATATATTATTTATACATCATTTAAATATACTTGGTTGCACTTTGTGACTAGTTTGTCTTATCCTGCTGGTTGGTTTTTTGTATATCTATTATTTTCTTAAAAATACATGTAACTGAAAAAATGGAAGAATTAGCAATATGATTGTTAAGTATGTGTTCTATATAAAACAATTTTGATTTGATGCAGCTAGCTCATACTTTCTATATCCACAAGGAAAACAATGAGAGGAGCAAATATCTAACATACGGACCATTATTACAGCAATTATTTATTGTCTAAACAAGTTTCCATTTTAGCATCATGACTATTTGCAATTTTATGATTTATGGACCCATGGTATGCTTTCACGGTACCCTCACAGTATGGGAATGAATCTTGCCACAGCCTCCCAGATTTCCAGACCCGATTTTTGGGATATGGCATACTTCCAACCAGCTCTTTTTCTCTCAATTCCATTTTGTAACAATAGTTAAGCAAGTAAGCATATGCTTCCTCCAAAGGTATTATTTTAATTTTGTTAACAATAAAGTCAGCTGTTTGAGCATTCTGTCACCATGCTATTCTTCTCCCATGTCAAGGAGAATAATAACAGGATAAATTTTAATGTTTTGTTCCTGAAAGAAAAGATGGTAGCAGTCTATAGGGTTTCAAAAAAGAATGTGTTTCAGAAATCTAGCAATTTTTTTTTTAAATTTCAAGCTTAAATTGGGATATTCCAACATCACCAGAAGCAGTTTGATCTCATCATGGCCCTATTCTGAGGTCAAAATGAGCATTCCAAATTGAGTCATTTCCAAGCTGGCTCAAAACATTGAAATATTTCTAAATTACGCCTCACAGAGTTGTTCTGAGCTCAAAATAGTTTGCATAGTTCTCATTCTTGGGTTTTAAAAAAAAGAGTGGTTCATGGGAGTGAGGATAGCAAGGAGTAAAGGGGACCCCTCCCTCCATGAAGTAGTGACAATAGTGGTGGTGATGTTATCCTGGTCTCTTATTTCTCATTTTAATAATGTGAATGGCAGTATCAAGGGATCCAGCAGCATCACCATTGACTATTCCCCTGGCTGACAGGCATTTTAAATTATTTCAAAAGCAATTCATTTAAGATTTCATACACAAGTACCAGCACCTTGAAATATCCAATGGTCTCTGCTTGTCGTTTGCTAAATTATCATTGCTGCCTGTTTTAATTTCAGGTTATTTTAGTTTAAAGAAATTACTATGCAATTAAAACAATTTGTTATTCTGAGGCATTACACACTCAACATCTGTGGAAAATAGTTTCTTACAGAATATTGAAAAAATAAAATACAATTACTTCTGCTTTTGCTGCACATTCAAAGAATGTATTAATTTCCTTAGCACAAGCACTGTCACTGAACTCATTCGCCTTCCAGCAAGCCATCATCAACGCCATCTCTGTAATACAGCTTGCCTCTGTAAAAGAAACTCCCATTATCCACGAGTATTTTATAACATCTACAAATCTATTGCAAAATAACCACATAAAACAAGGAAGAAAATACAGCAGACATTGACCACAGCACTGTTTGCTGTTACGTTATTCCAAGAACATGCCAACCTCCATTGGAATTGGAAAGTTCTTCTTAAACAGTACCTATAATGGAAGGGAGGATGGGGGAGACAATCACTGGTCAATGGAAAGACATCTGATCAAAGTGGGCCAGATGCCTGAATATAATACCTGGCACAAGGCAGATGTTTGGTCAGACAGGTGTTTAGTTGACAGAATTGGTAGAAGTATGTAGGATGTCAGTGAATGTGTACGTGGGTGGACCAAGGTCAGATGTGTGTGCTTCCATAAGCTTCCCTCAATAACTTATACCAGTGTTTCTCAGCAACTTTAAGATGCGTAGAATTCAATTCCCAGAATTCCCCAGCCAGCCATGCTGGCTGGGGAATTCTGGAGTTGAAGTCTACGCATCTTAAAGTTGCAGAGGCTGAAAAACACTGGCCTGTATGGATAATTCTGTTCAAATATATATGCCAGCTCACCATACGTCCTTCAAAGAAGCCCTTGGAAACTCAAGAAAGGTCAAGGTGAGCCAGACGCCAGGTAACGTTATGGGCAGGAAAGAAAGTGACTTGCCGCCGCCTCCTTCCCGGAGCTTCTCCCCTCTCCCAGGCAAGCCCTCGGCCGCTGCGCCTTGGAAACCACTCTCGGCTAACTCGACTGACCCTCCGCAAGCCAAGCGCCCGGACGGCGCGCGCGGCATGAAATGCGAGGGGCGGGTTTGCGCGCGGGGACCATTGGGCGCCGCTCGCCCTCGCCTACCTCCGAGCTTCAGGCGCCGGTTCGAGACGCGGTCGGCCAGCACCAGCGGCAGCTTCGGCTTGATCGGGCGATGCTTGCCCGGGAGCTTCTTGAGGTCGCCTAAGCGGCTCCTCCAAGCCGATAAAACAGCCGGCGGGCCCGCCATGGCGCACCGGAAGAATAATGGCCGCCACGTGACTGCCGTCGTACCACAGAGTCGCACTTCCGACGCCCGAGAGCGGCCGCCGCTGAGGATCTGCGCGGCGATCCCGGCCGGCCTCCGCCGAGGGACCCTCCGCAGCTCCGCGAGCGGCGCTTCCGCGATGGGCGAAGGTCGCCGGGGAACCGGCCGCGAGGCGACGCGCGCTGGAGCTCCTCACACGGGGCGGCCCGGGCGCGCAACGGCCTGGATCCCGAACGTGGG